GAATGTACTAATGTGCTTTACACAATTGATGTATGTATGGATTGTGGTAAGAGTTGTATGAGCCCTTAATAAAATGATTAAAAAATAAAGAAAATGTTTTGAAAATGATGATGGCAACAACTGTACAAATGTCTTTGACACAATGGGTGCATGGATTGTCAGAAGAGCTGTGAGTGCAAATAAAATGATTTCTTATAAAAGAAAAGAATATAATAGGCATTATAGATTCTTTCTCCTCACTTATTGACTATCTCATTACATTACATTTCACGTTTATGACAATAGTAAAATTCTACTATGCAACTATTTTTTCACATCAGCAATGTGTATCTGGCAGTAACAACTGCAAAGGTACAGGTGAGCGTAACACTGTGTGATAGTTAAGATTACTTGTCAACTTCACTGGGCTTTGACTGTCAACTTTATTTTCAGTGAGTTGGCTTTTATATAGTGATACCATTTAGAATTCACATAATGATCTATTCATCAGTTGGTGATTGATGTGGTCACGTTCCATTTTCACATTATGCTTATTTTTGAATCTTTTTAACCTCACTGGGTTAATAAGTGAGGATGGGAGTGTGGCAGTTAGATTTTATGTCAATTTGTACTTGTGTAAAGGTGGAATCCAACCCGTCAACCAGGTGAAAGCCTGATGATGCCTTCTGGAAGTTGTGACCTTTTAATAAGAGGGACACTGAGAAGCCCTCCACTCTTTCTCTGCCCATTGCCTTCCTGCTTGCTTGGTCTCTGTGTCTGTCTCTAGGGGCAGCCTGGTATGGACAGCTTCACCTGAAAGCTATAGGTGCCCTACCATATTTCCACTCACCTTGGATCCATGCAACTCTGCCCCCACAGTACTGTGTTATTCCTGCACCCCATTTCACCTTTATCATTGGCCTGCAGCTACAGGAGTCTGAAGAGCATTCCTGTTAGTACTGGACACACAGACTTGGACAGGTCTGGGATTTTTTCTTGAAAATAAAATATATATATGAGTTTCACTGGGTTTGTTTTTTGAGCCAACCCAGCCTAACACAAAGTGGTACATAAAAATTTGAGAACATAACAACAAAATGACAAATAACCCAATCATAAATTAGGATAAGTTCTAGTATAGAAATTTCCCAATGAATACATTCAAATGACCACCAAACATAAAAATATCTCAACACCACTGGCCACCAAAAACGCAAATAAAAAACACAATAAAATAGCATTTCTTTCTCACTAGGATGTCTACTATTCAAACAACTTTTTAAAATCCAGGAAATATCAAACATTACTGAGGACATGGGATAATTATAACCATTATCCATTGCAGATGGGAATGTAAAAATAATATAGCCATTATGGAAATCAGTGTAGCAGTTCCTCAAAACAATTTAAAATATGAAAACTAAACAACTCAAATCAAATTCACTGCCTGTGATTGAATTTAGACTCATGGAGACCCTATAGGACACAGTAGAACTGTCCCATTAGTTTGAGACTGTACCTCATTACAGAAGTAGAAAGCCTCATATTTCTCCCATGGAGCAGCTGGTGGTTTTCCACTATAGATGTTCGGGTCAGCAGTCTGATGTATAACCACTATGCTACCGGGGCACCAATACAGCACCAAGGGCTCCTAGTTAACTACCATATGACCCAGAAATTCTACTTCTAGCTATACATTCCACAGATTAAAAAGCAGAGACTCAAACAGAGATTTTCACACTAATATATACTGCAGCACTATTCACAATAGAACTCATAAGGTGGAATGGCTTAAATGTCCATAAACTAACCAATGGATAAACAGAATGTGGTGCATACATGCAATGGGATTCTGTTCACCCAGTGGAAAAATAAAAAAAATTGTTAAATGCTACAACATGGATGGAACTTAAGCACATTATGCTGAGTGAAATAAATGAATCACAAAAGGATAATTGTTTTATTATCTCACTTATATAAAGAGATGACACTAATATAGAAAGATGGAAGTTTATTACTGCTTGCAGAGCTGGGAGGGAGTGGAGAGGGGAGCATCGTGGCGATTGGAAAATTACACTCATTAAAGGTAGGGTTCCAGTGCTGGTAACTGTCATTTGTTTTCCCAGTAAGCTGTATACCTGCAATAACTTGAATTAGCAAATGTTATGTGATAAGTATATTTTCAATGGCAACCAACAAACAAAAGAGTCACTGCAGAGGCTGATTTTGTACAACCTAACACCTAATAGAACTTGATTTCTTGGTTTGGAGTTTCAGAGTTAGGGCGTATCCACCAACACAAGTAATCAGGGCACAGTCAAACTACATCCACACAGAACAGCATAAGAACCCATTCTCAAAGAACAACAGTAGTGTATGTGTGTGTTGCTTGATATGTGGCTAAACATAAAAATTAGATGGATAACTAGCAAACAAGCATAAAACAATACAGCTCTTCCTCCATGTTTCCACTGCAGGAAGGCAGAGAACCAATAAAAATAATAATATTCATTCTAATATATCCCTAGACCAGCAATACTTGGAGGGTGTGAAATCTATTGCAAAGATATAAAATAAAATCCCATACTTTGATTTTTAAAAATTATTTTAGATGAAAAATACCACGATTTTAATAAGGTAATACAAAAGGAATTACATTTTTTAAATTTAAGAAGATGACTCATGGCTAAAATTCTATTGCTCAGAAGAATTCAAAATAATATTTATATACTCTTTTGAATTTTCTTAAATAACAGTAATATTTAATCAGTATTTTATATGTGTCAAGAACTTTGTTAAGAAATTTTCTCATTCATCTTCACAAAATCCACACACGGATATCATTATAATTCTTTTCATGCTCATTCTAAAATTGAAGAAGCTAAAGAATAAAGAGGTGGGTAACATTTTCAAAACCACACAGTCAGTAAACATAGGTTTTTCATTTTTTATGTTGGGAGTTCGTTGTTATTTCTATCACATAATAAAAACCTCAAATTCCAAGAGTTTTAAGGACAAATATGACACTACTTATCTTCACTTAATTTTGTCGAAAACACTTCAGCATTTTCACAAACTCAAACTTCTTAGCAATGCGCTGTCGAATCTGCTTGGTCTTAATGCTGTAGACAATGGGATTCATGAGGGGTGGTACCAAAAGATATACATAAGACATGAGGAGGTGTACAATGCGGGGCAAATGTTCTCCAAAGCGGTGCACAAGAGACAAGCCAATCATGGGGATGTAGAACAACAGCACCGCACAGATGTGGGAGACGCAGGTGTTGAGGGCCCGGAGCCTCTCCTGACGGGAAGCGATGCTCAGTACAGTGCGCAGTATAAGGGCATAGGAGAGAAAGATGAGGAGTGAGTCAACACCCACGGTGCAGGCTACCACGAAGAGCCCATAGATGTGGTTGACGATGATGCTGGAGCAGGCCAGTTTCATGATCTCGAGGTGTAGACAGTAGGCATGGGCCAGCACATGGCTGCGGCAGTAGTGAAAACGTTTAAGGAGAAATGGCAGGGGAAGGATAAGAAGCGCACTTCTAAGCAAAGAACTCAGTCCCATCTTGACAATGCGTGCAGGCGTCAAGATGGTTGAGTAACGCAATGGATTACAGATAGCCACATAGCGGTCAATGGACATGGACAATAGAACTGAAGATTCCACCAGAGACAAGGTATGGATGAAAAAGAGCTGAGTGAAGCAGGCAGGGATGCCGATCTCTCGCGCATCAAACCAGAAAATGCCCAGGACAGTGGGCAGCGTAGAAAGGCAAAGTCCCAAGTCTGTGAGAGCCAACATAGCCAAAAAATAGTACATGGGCTCGTGGAGTGTGGCATCAGTGCGGATGACATGAAGGATAGTAAGATTCCCTACAATCACTGTCAAGTAGATGGAGCAGAAAGGAATGGAGATCCATCCATGGAGATCTTCCAGACCGTGAAAGCCCGTCAGGAAGAATGTGGCTTTTTGGAGACTGCTATTATAAGGGATTGCCATGGCTTTACAATCTTGGATTCACCAATCTGCAATATAGAATTAAACACCTGGACGAGGACAGGGCTAAATTCACAATCAACTCAATGGCCCAGAACCAAAGAACAAGATAGGTTTTACACATGCAATGAGAGAGAACTGGGAGGCCGGATCTACTAGCATTTCCTTGAATGAACTAGGCAGGGGCTCTTGCCAAGAGATCGGTATAGCCCAGTTGGGTGTCATTTGAATCAACCTTACATGTATGTGCACCAGTGTTAGCCTTTCAGAGGTTTTCTCAAGTGGTCTTTCTTTCCTTTGTTCCTCCCTGTAAATCTAAAATTAAGTAATCAAAGCATCGCAAATCTCTATATCTCAAATATAAGGGATTATTACTATTGCTGCATCACTGTTTGCTAAACTCAGATGTCTGTGATGCGTCTTCAAATGTGGTTGTAATTTACCTGGGGCCTGGGACTGCTTGGCATATAGTGTGCATGATTCCCCAGTGCCTCGTCACCACAGAGGGCAGTAGCTAAAATCCTTGCATTTGGGAGCTTTGACTGGAAAGATGCCTCTCCTGTGGGCTGTTTCTATGAATATTAAACATTTGAGTGTATGCAGGGTTAAATGTTGCTGAGTGATTCTGAAGCCGGAAGTAGTATCAGAGAAGAAACAGGGCCTCAGAAAAGAGTGACCGAGAAAGGGTCTTTGGGGTTAATTCTGAGAGAGACCAGGAGACATTCGTGAAGCTAAACTGGGGCCAAATGCCAAGGAACACAGATGAAGGGTCCTTCAGCTCTCAAGCCAAATGAACAAAAAGGAAACACCTGAGTTGCCCGGGCAAAGTGTTTCATCTGTAGTTTAGAATGAGAAAGCCAAATCTGGCAGCTCTCAGAGTGAGCTCTGCCGCTGGGTCTTTTACTGAGATGACACACAGGCGTGACTCCATTTCTGTAATAGCTCAGATATGATCTTGGTCTCCTTTTTCTTTCTGTCTTTAAAACTCGTACCCAATTTTATGTATTGCAATGTACCCTAAATTAGTTTTATGCATATTAATATGAGTAGTATAAAAACCCTAATAATAAAATGCCTAACACTGCGATCTAGGCAACGTTGATTCATACCAACCCTGTAGAACAGGCTAGAATTGTCCCTGTCAGTTTCTGAGACTGTTACTGTTTACAGGAGTAGAAAACCAAACACCCATCCAGTCAATGCTGACTCATAGCGACCCACTGTGAGTTTCTGAGACTGTAACTGTTTACAGGAGTACGAACTCTAGTCTTTCTCCCTTGGAGCTGCTGGTGGTTTTGAACTGCCAATCATGAGGATTGCAACCCACTGCACCACCAGGGCTCCACACAGGAGTAGAAAGCGCAGTCATTCTCTATCAGAGCAGTTGGTAGGTGCCGAGTGTTGATTTTGAGGTTGGCAGCCCAGGATGTAACAAACACCACACCAGGGCTTCCATCGGATGCATACGACATTATGCAAAAGTATATTCTGTGCCTGCCAACTTTCTAAATTCATGTCTGTTCACTTAGTCAGCTCTCACAACAATCCTAGGCACATATTCTACTCCTGGGTGGACGATACTGGTAAAAAACAATTGTGGCTTACAAAAGGCACATGATAAGAGTTAGATTTAAAGCAAATACAGGTTGAGAACAGGATCCAAATTCTGAGTGCTCCCCAGAAGCTATATTATTAGTCTTCACATTATATTCCTTACTGTGACTTCATAGTAAATCTAGCCTTTACAAGTGCCAGCAAAATTGGAAATAAGTAATAAAAACTGTTGAGGTTTTTACTTTAAACAAGTTTGTGATAACTATTTCCATTAAGCTGGCCAAGATAGGTGACAATAGAGAATAAACATGTATTTGAGACTGAGATCAGTTTGGGGTATTCTGAATATGAATTAAAAGGAATTCCTTCAAGAATGTGTAGAGAATGTTACACACAACATTTATTTGTGTGTATACTTGAATTAGATATTATTTGAGCTGAGTATGGATAAAATTGCTAGTAAACACAGTGGATTGAATAATAGCACTTCTTTCGTAACACTAGGGCTTCTTAAGAAAAATGGAAACTAGAAAAGAGAGAAAAAAGGAAGAATCAGAAAAAAATGGAACTAGGAGGATATAGTATCAATAAAGTCAAGTTCTCACAGTTGACTATAAAAGAAGAAACGTAGTAGGATTTTTAAAAAACAGTAACAGTTGGCTATGATTGTTGAGTTTTTGAAGTCTTTCAGTGGGGAGAGTAGTATACAGGCTTCAGCTCTCAGCGGGTGAAGGAATCGAGAGAGGCGGCAGTTTGTGTAACACTCCTCTGAGAGATGATCAGAGGATGAGTGCAGAGACAAGGAGGCCACAAGAAGATGAAAGGGAGAGGGAGGGGGATGTTCAAAAGAAAGATCGATCAACACCCTTACCACTTACTCTTCATACCATAAGCGATCACAACATAATAATGATATGAACATGTTATGATTTGTGATATTTGCAGACTCCTAGTGAAATTGGTTTCCATATTTCTTACTATGAGGTGTCTCAGAGAATTTGAGAATTAGAAAAAAACACTTGAAATAATCTATTTCAGCCTTTCATTTCTAGACAGACAAGGGTTGAGTATTCTATCATTTTTTGAGCATCCCCTCAAAAAACAAGCATTGGTAGCTAGTCAATTCTGATTCAGTGACCCTTTATAGAATTTCCAGTTATAAATCTTAAATATTTGTCTTTACTTTCTCATCTTTCTCCCAATAGCAGCTGGTGCATTTGAACCACTGGGCTGGTTCTTTATTATTCCCTTTATGCTTCTCCAAATATAGTTCTTGCTTATTAACATTTTTTGCAGATGCAGAATATAAAGAAAAATAGGGGGGTCGTGGTGGTGTGTGCAAGTCACAGAGAGAAGGTATTATACTACACAAGGACCTAGCCACCTGGTACAGATTTGGAATTTAACAAAGTTCGCTGATTGTAGAATGAATGCATGTGCACATGAATCAATGGATGGATGAGGAAAAAGGGTATGAGTGGATCAAACAAGAGAATCCTAGTGAAATTTCCCTGTATGTTCTTTTAAAAGCTATTCACCCCCAGCTGTATAGATCCGAGACTAGACTAGATCTAGACTTTTGTCCTTTGAGGCTCTCTTCAGGTCTCAGTTACTGGAGGAAAGAGATAGCATCCTGGGGCTCTGGCGAAGGCAGGGGAGAGATGACTGACAGTGCTGCCGCTGATATCCTGACACTTAAGAGCCCACAGCCCTTATAGAATGACACACAAAGGTGTTTATGATTGTTAGCATCAGTGTCGGTGACAGTTCACAAAATTCTTCCTGAACATGATCATGACTTCATACAGGGGGACTTCAAAATGTTTATGGAAATAAGAGAATTAAAATATAATGGAATTTTCCCACAAACATTCATAACTTGTTACAGAACACTGATAAATGCACTTTTTAATTTAATTCTAATACTATAATTTTAATATAAGAAAGATAGTGCAATTCTCATTTCAAAGGAAAAGGATTCAGTATTCAAAATACATGAAGTGGGTTTTACAAGGTCACGCACACTGACTGTAAAGACTATAGAGCTGCTGATGTGCTTTCCCTAGTTCAAGTATCTCTCCAAACTGATGAGCACTCGAAGCAGAGATTTAACAACTAAGGCTAACACTTCAATGTTTAGCCTAGTTCTTTCTGGTCCAGGTATCTCTCTGTCCCTTGCTGCTTCCTCTATGTGAATTGCTTGCAGTGCATACCTGATCACCAGACGCTGGAAGGAAAAGTCATGGGAGAGCATAATTCCATCAGACCAGTTTAGGACAGGAATATTCTGTTTAAAACACAAGGCAGTTTTGAAGAGCTCAGCAGCTCCTCTTCAGGGACTTCTGCTGAGACTGAGCATTCCCTGGAAAGTTCCTGTGGGTCTCAACTGAGGATCCAGCCCACAAGAGGATGAAAACTCCAATATGTGAACGCTGATGATGGTGATGGTGACGGAAGTAATAGCAGCAAATGCTATTCTGTCTTTGGGCAAGGGTTACTACAGGTCAAAATGTTAGAATATTTATAAACATACATTTAATTTTTAGAAACTGAAAAATAAATGCTTATCTAGACCTGGAAAACAGTCTTGCACATAGAGCTGGAAGAACGAGAGAACATTTAGATAAAGCTTAGTTTAAGATCTGGTTAAGATTAGCTTTATCTGAAGAAACCTTAGCTCTCTTACATTGAACCACATGATCTAGGGCAAATTACTTAATCTCCCAGAGATTATTTTCTGATGTTTAAGAATGGAATTTCTCTCTCCTTATTCATAAAGGCATATGTTAAACATTTTCAGTTACTTTAGAGTAGTTGTTAATGTGATTTTATTTTAATATAGAATGAAGGACGGTTCTCTTTTTGTTTGTCATAAACTAGGTTTCTTAATTACAGTTGACCATTTCTGCACTTTCTCTCCCCAGTAAACATGCAATTTAGGCTTTAATAAGGAGCCCTGGTGAGGGAGTGCTGGGGGAGTGGTTATGAGTTGGGTGGTGATCCACAAGGTCAGCAGTTCAAAACCGCCAGCTATTTCATGGAAGAGAGATGGGGCTATCTACTCCTGTAAAAAGCTCCAGGCTCAGAAACCATGGGGGTAGACCTACTCTGTCCTAAAGGGTTGTTATGAATCAAGATCAATTTGTTGGCAGTCAGTTTGGCTTGTGTTTGGGTCTTGATTTAGAAAATTGTACTTCAATGCTAGTGCAATACCTTGGAAAACTTGCCAACCTGTTTAAATATCTATATTCAGAATTCTACCTGAGTAAATTTGAATAATTGGAATACACACTCGAATGGAATAACTACTGCTGAATGGATTCTGAATAAATTTAAAAGATTGAGATAATTAGTAGCATGACCATATCTTATTTTGACACAGCTATTGGAAGTCAATTGCTATGAGAGTAGATGGTTGGAATATGGTCTTTATTCAAGAAATCATATCT